TTTGATTTGATAAAAGCAATCACAGCAAGTACTACAATAACTGCTATTGTAATAACAAACATTATCCAGAAACAAATAACAAAGAATAATCCAGCCCAATAGAAACAAAGGCAGAAGAGTGCAACCATAAATACAATTCCATTGATAATAAATGATTGAAGAGCGACAGCACGTACATAAACATTTTGTTTTTCAAGGAAGAAAATAATAATTCCACCAACCCAACCAAAAACAGTAGCAAGAAGAGAAAGGACTGGAACACTACATGAAAGTGTAGTAGATTGATTATCAGTGGTTTGGGCGTTTTGAGAATAATCATTAAAAGGGTCTGACATTGGTAATTTTATGAATAAATTTATTAGTTCCATTAAATAGTTCAATAAAAAATTCGATGAGATACTTAGAGTGAATAAACTGAGAAGTGAGTTAGGATATTTTTAAATAAAAAATCGGGATATTAGTATAAATTTTAATATTATTTTTAAGATAGATTAATTCGTCATTGTATATGAAATTGTTTTCAAATGTCAGATATAAATTTTACAGCTTAACTACAATGTATTGGTAATGTTCTAATTAATTCAAATAAAGTGAACCTGAAAATCCAATTCACTTTTCTTAATTAACTTTAGACACAAAGTATTAATGTTCTACTTAAAAAAAAAACATTTATTCTAACAATCCTTTATCACTTTTATTTGTCATTTTTTTCATATTTTTTATTTAAATTGATTATTCATTCAATAAGAAACGATTTTTAATTCGATGAAATCCAAATGGAATTTAATATTTTTTTAATATAAAATAATAGAACTTTAATCTTAAAAATAATTAATTTATTTGATTTTATGTCAGACCCTTTTAATGATTATTCTGGAAATAATGCTGAAGTAAGTTATGAAACTACAACTCTCAGTTGTAGTGTTCCAGTCCTTTCTCTTCTTGCTACTGTTTTTGGTTGGGTTGGTGGAATTATTATTTTCTTCCTTGAAAAACAAAATGTTTATGTACGTGCTGTCGCTCTTCAATCATTTATTATCAATTTGATATTCTTTGTTATTGCCTTGTTCTTCCTTATATTCTATTGGGCTGGATTATTCTTTGTTATTTGTTTCTGGATAATGTTTGTTGTTGATGTCATTGTTCTTATTGGACTTGCTGTGATTGCTTTTATCAAATCAAAATCTGGTGTTTTCTTTGGTATTCCACCACTTGGAGGATGGATTCTTTCTATTGCTAACCATTAAATTATTTACAAAATCCTATTACTGATTGAATTTCGTTATTGGTTTGATAGTATTTAGTTATTATTTTTTGGTTTATATAACATAAAAACAATTTATTTTTTAAGTTATTTTTATAATATTTAAACCCCTAATTTTTTTCTTAAAAAATTTTAATTCTTTTTAAGAATAAAAAGAAAGAATTTTTAAATTTGCATGTATTGAAACGTAGTTTATTTAATAATATTTTATGTACTAAACATGCAAAATAAATTGTTGTAAATAATAAAAGTATTTTAAGAAATACTTTAAATAAAATCATCAAATATTTTTTAACTTCTTTTCATTAAAAACAAATATTCATATTCAAAACTGAATTACAAATAAAAGACTTTATAAAGTTTAAAAATTTATTACTAAATTATATTAGGAAAAAAAAGCATAGTATTAATAATTATCATTGTTAATTGTTTAATAAAGATATTTTTTAAATAACAATAATTAAAATAAATATTATCACTATTCTAGAAAGTTTATAGAATTTTATAATAATTTTATTTATAACTTGATTCTTTTTATTCATTCAATATTTGAATTTGTTAATGTATTTTTAATCATAATTTTTGTTTTTTCTATTTGAAAAATAAAACGTTTTTATTACCCTTTTATTTAAGTTTTTTTTATTTCAATGAAATTTTTCCAGAACATCAATCGTTGGGATAATGATACGAAGATAAGTATATCCATTATTCTTATTGGTTTTATAATGACTTTATTTATTTCATTCGTTGACTTATTTACTCTGTACCCACAATTTAATTTTTCTTGGATTTATCTTCTTTACATAATTCTTTGGTTAATGTCATTTGTTTGCTATTACAAATGTGTAACAACAAATACTGAAGTCCCAGAAATTACTAAAATGGACATTTCAACATATCCACCATGTTCTAAATGTGGGTTAGGTAAACCAGAACGAGCACACCATTGTTCAAAATGCAAGTCCTGTATATTAGAAATGGATCACCATTGTAATTATATTGGAAACTGTGTTGGATTTGCTAATAAGAAATACTTTTTGTTGCTTCTCTTTTATGTTACATTAATGATACTTTTTGTTCTATTAATCAATACTCCGTTAGCGATTTATGCCTTTTTTTATCCATTAAGAAATCCATTTTATCATTGTGTATTTAGATTATTTGATTTGGTTCATTGTATTCTTGGTATTTATGCACTTACTCTAATAGCGTCTACAGCTCATGTTGTAATAAAAGGCTTATTTTGCAATTATACAACTATTGAGTTTATCGTTTGTTTTTTTAACCCTTTCTATGTTATTAAATCTCAAGGTTCAATCTTATCAATTTTTATAGGTAAAAGGAGAAATGGGATGGGTAAGTTCTGCTGAGTCAAGAAGGAAAAATAAATATGACTTAGGTACATTGAGAAATATTCAACAAGTCTTTGGAATTGGACTTCTTCAGGCATTATTACCAATTCCATCAAATACTACTTGTAATGGAATTAATTTTGAAACTAATGGAGAATATAATGAAGCATTAGAAAACCAATACAATGAGTATTATGAAGATTATTAGAATAGTTGTTAACAAGAGTTTAATTAATTTTTAAATTAATCAAAAAGAGAACTGAAACTTTTTTTAAATAAACAGAAATGAACCATAAAAAAATTAAAGTAGCAGGTATTGGTGAGGTTGTTTGGGATTGTTTTGGGGATGTTAAAAAACAAGGAGGAGCGCCATGCAATTTTGCTATGCACATGGCACAATTTGGTTTTGAGTCATATGCTTTCATTGCTGTTGGAAATGATGAATTAGGTAAACGTTCACTAGAAATAATTCACTCATTTGGGGTTCAAACTATTGACCCAGTTGTAGATTATGAAACAAGTACTGTAATTATCACTCTTCACAATGGGATTCCATCATATAATGTTAAACTAAATGTTGCTTGGGATCATTTGAAATTAACAGACTCTATCATTGAAAAGGCAAAAGAATTAGACGCAGTTTGTTTTGGAACTATTGCACAAAGAAGTGAAGAAACAAGAAAGTCCATTACTCAGTTTTTAAAATTAATGAAACCAAATTCGCTCAAAGTCTTTGACGTTAATTTAAGACAACATTTTTATAACAATGATATAATTCAAGAGAGTTTATCATTATCAAATATTGTTAAAATGAGTGATGAAGAAATTCAAGAAGTAGGTAAGGCTTGTGGATTTCAGGGGAATGACTTAGAAATATTAAAACAAATTCATCATCAATATCATTTGAAGTATTCATTACTTACACTAGGTGAAAAAGGGAGTTATGTTTATGACGGTACTAATGAAATATTTTGTGAGCCAACAAAAGTAAATGTTGTAAATACTGTTGGTGCTGGAGATTCTTTTACTGCTATTTTTGTTGGTTCAATTCTTAAAGGAAAAAGCATTGAACAAGCACAAAAATTAGCAAGTAAAGTTGCTAGTTATGTATGTACTCAGGATGGTGCAATGCCAAAACTCACACAAGAGTTTTTATCTGAGTTAAAATAATCAAAAAAAAATTTATCTTTTTTTTAATTTATTGTTCACATATTCTAATGAAAGAATGATTAAATTAGTCTTGATGTTCCTCTGACTTTTCTTCAGAACTAAGTTCTTCATTTTCTAAATCTTTGGCAGTCATCACAATGGCTCTCTTTTTAACCTCTTGGGCTTTAGCTTTTATTTCAGCCTTTCTAGCTTCTTTTTTAGCTTTTTTTTCTTCTTTTTTTGATTTTTTTTGAGCTTTTTTAGCCTCTTTCTTAGCTTTTTTTTCACATTTACCACAACATTCATCACAATTTTCACATTTGGCTGGTTTTTTTTCTTCTTCATCTTTCTTTTCTTCTTTAACTATTTTTTCAATCTTTTTATCTGCCTTCTTATCACTTTTGGCTTTCTTTTTTTCTAATTTCTCTTTCTTTTTATCTGCTTTTTCAACTACTCCAACAATTTTTTCTTCACCTTTTGCTTGCTTTTTGGCTTCTTTTTTAGCTTTCTTAGCTTCTTTTTTTTCTTGTTTTTGTTGTTTCTTTGGCTTCTTTTCAATCTCTTCTTTCTTTTCTTCAGTAACTTCAATCTTCTCTTTTTCCTCAGTCATGTAATTTTGGATGTTTTTTAGTTTGAAACTCTTCTATTTATTGTGAAATTCTACTTTGTGTTTTATCATTTTGGGATAGTAAAAGAGTCATTTCCTTGTTATTTCAGATTAATGTTGGAAAAGGGTTTCTAATTAAAATTATAAGCAAAAATTCTTTTTTTTACTGGAAGTTAGAATAAATATTACATAAAATAATAAAATAATAAAATATTAATTTTACTCAAAAAAGTTTTATTATTAATTAAAAATACCTAAGATGCTAAGCTTCTGTTTTATTTTTATTAATTTTCCAAAAATATTCAAATTTATTTTGATGACAAATTTTTAACAATAAAGATGAAAATGGTAATATCTAACTTATTAAAGAGGAGTCTTTAAAATGAAAAAGATATTAATTTCAAAAAAGATCTTTATTTCATAATTAAATTATCTTATATTCATGTTTCTTTAATAGTTTTATTTGAATTTTATTTATAATTAATAAGTAAATAAATACTTTTTTTATAGTTATAATTAAACATTATTTAAAATGTTAAAAATAGAACAATTTATTTTTTAAAATAGTAACTAATGAAGTATTATTTCAATACTTTTAACTGTTTGAGTTTATTTTTGTTTTTTATTATATTTACAAAATTTTATTAACTAACATAAATTAAAGAACCAACAACCACTTAACATTCAGTTTTGTATTATTTCTAATATCATTCTAAATTAAGTTTTAATTAAAGCCATAACACTTTTATCTGTTCATTACGTATCATAGTTATTATCAAAAAAATAAAGATAATTTCAAGACAAATAAAATATTACAAGTTTTTCTATATTCTTAAATTCTATTTCAATCCCATATTTTAAAAAGTGTCAAATTAAAATAGATGATAAAAAAAAGTTATTATTAAATAGTTTAATAAAGAGATGTTATTTTCCTTTTGAGTAGATAAATAAAGAAATTAATATAAACTAAGAATAAATAAAAGAATATTGACTAAGAAAGAAAAACAATAAATATTTTTTATTTTTGTTTTACTTAAATATAAAAAAATGTTATTAAAATTTTGTTTAATAATACAAATTAGTAAATAACAAAAATAAATATATGAAAAATAAAAAGTAGAATAACAAAATATAAAAGGGAATAATTAATGAATTAAATTTAATTATTATATCTTGAAATTAACTCATCAATGAATTGTGCAGTTTCCATTCTTTGTTGTTTTAATTGTTCTGGGTCAGTATCTTTCTCAGCATAAAGATCAGCACAATGAGCAGTACCTTTGATATAAGAAGCATAACAATTAATATCTGAAGGAAGAGTTTCATGTTTAGCCAATGGACTCCATGGATCAGTTGAACCAGAAGTATAAGCTACATTAGTGGCTTTTGGTTTATAACCACCATACATTAAATTAGTATGGTGAACTCTTCTATCTAAACGTTGTTTATCTACATTGAAAATATCTTTACAAAGAAGATAATAAAATTCATTATTAAGTCTCTTTGAAAATGGAAGACTTTCATTAACTGGTTGGAAATAACTGTATTCACTACAGATTTGCCATGCCCAACTTCTTGTTGATGCAAGTCTATTTCCTTCTTCTTCTGTTTTAGTATTTGCCATATCCGTAAGCATGTCAGCATAACTTGATGGTGCACATTTAAATCCAAATTCATTAAATGCATGACTCATTAAGTCAACCATATTCTCATAAGCTGTTTTTCCTTCAGTAGTTAATACATTACAAACACCTTCAATAGTTAATGAATAACTTCCATTATATTGTGGATAATTTACCATTGTTGCTTGGATTTGTTGAATAAGAATAGTAAGGTCATCTTCTTCTTTAATTTCAGTACATGTTTTAAAATCATTCTTAAGTTGTGCTTTACCAGAATCAGTTTTGAAAAGTTCTTCAATACTTTCAGTAGCTTCTTTCCAAGCATTACCACATTTTTCACCCATATCATTGTAAATAACATCTAAAAATTCATAAAAAGTAGATGTGGCATAAACTGGTGCAGATGAAGCAACAGCTGCATAAACTACATTTGGATATTTTTGTCTAATCCAAGTAGCAAGGTTTCCACTATATGATCCACCAAAAACAATAACAGGACCAGTGATTTGATATTCCTTTTTAATTTGATTAATAATCATAACATAATCTTCTAAGGCTTGAGCTGCACTAAGATATCCAAGATTTTCTTGTGACAATCCTCCTTCTGGAACAGATTTACCATAAAATCTATGTTCAATTGCAAGCATTAATGAATTATATTTTTCGGCATATTTATTAATAACAAATCTTCCTCCAACAGCAGCTGCCCTTTGTGTTCCTTCTCCTCCAAGGTCAACCAAAAGTGGTGCTTCTTTACTATATATAGTATCATTAATAAAATATCGAATATTTATCGTCTTTTTATTGGTTAAATCAAAGTGGTCAATTGGTTGTGTTGAAACACGTTCTATAACGTCGCTTCTATCCATTTCTCCTCTAAAACGAATGTTTTGGAAACGAAATCCAAGAGATGTTGTGAGTAATAAGAAAAGAAACATTACTTAAGGATTTTCGAGATTCCGAAATTCTTTTTTTTTCTACTATTATTGAAACTATAGCTTTCATTTTTTTTACTATCAAATATTCCTATTTTTTATTAACCAGACTCAGAATAGAAAATTTCTACTATAAAGGAGTTTTCAGACAACTATACAGTTCATTTTGCCTTTGGTTTGTATCATTAAAAACAAAATATAAATTAAAAAAAAGAGG